CTTTGATAAGCAGTTCTTGATAATCACTTCTCAAAAATTATTTGTTATTATTATAGTTTAACATTATAAAATTAACAAAAATAATATAAAACTTATATCCTGGTGAAATAGCCACATGGTAGCCAAAAACTGTATATTCCCTTACTATTCTCTTGTCTGTTTGTGCATTCTTTCCAAAATAGGGACTTTTTAAAAACGCCATGGGACACAGGACAAATTGTTAAAAAATGGGACTGTCCTGCCAAAAGCGGGACATCTGGTCACCCTACTCAAGAAGTGAGATGGTAGGGAAACATAGAGTCCTATCCAGCTGTACACATGGTCCCTGACATAGGGTCTCTCAGTATTTCACAAGTTGACATCACTCACACATGATCTCCCACTCACATGAACAGTCAGCCTCCCCTCTCCCCTGATCAACCCACCTGTGGACCCCTGGAAACTGTCAGATACAGCTCACAATCAGAGGGGTATGCTCCCTCCCAGAGTTACAGACACAATCACACAGAGCCAGAAAGAGAGAGAGTGAAGGGGGCCTGAGTCTGGCCTGAGCATGCCCCAGTTGAGTCCATAGTAGAGGCCAGCTGAGCAGTTGCCCTGATTCCAGCCACCTGCCTCTGTGGGTCACTCCACCCACCAGCCTGCCCCAGCCCCATGCCGGTTTTGCCCCAGGCCTGATCTGGGAGTCTCGGTCCAGAAGATGAGGGACAGGGCAGCTCTTACTCAGCTCTGGGTTCCATGGTCCATGCAGGGTTGGCCTGGCTTGGCCCTTTCTCCAGGGGTCCTGGGGGCCTGTGCTAGTTTGGGGCTGGGCCCAGAGCCGGCTCAGCTTCCTGTGTGGCTGAGAGAGGAAGTTTAACGGGTGACGTCCCCAGACAAGGCCCTGCCCCCACCCGTTGTGAGAAACCAAGGCATCCTGCCTCCTGGCCTTCTCTAGGATGGGTGGGCAGTAAGTGGGCAGCCTCAGAAGCCAGACCCCCAGCTCCATCCTGCCAGGATGGGCCATGTCTGGTCCCTGCATTCCACCTGGGCCCTCACCTCTCCTTCCCTACCTTGCAGCAAACCAAGTTTCACAGTCTGTCTAAAGTTTCCATTTCCCTCAACTCTTCTTTCCCTTCTTTCCCTTCCACTCACACTGCCCATTCACTGTGCCTAGACAGTAGACATAGGGACCAGGAAGGCGGACAATAGACAGCACTGAACTTAGACACAGGGACAGACAGACAGGAAGTCACTGACATAGACTGAGTCCAAAACAGTCATACACAACAAGCAGACACAGACAGTGAGTCCTACAGTCCAAAATGTAGTCACAGACACACATGGACAAGGACAGAGAGACAGCATGCACAGAGGGCAATAAGTCTGACTCTAGCTGGAGATTCAGTACAGAGAGACAGCAAACAAGCATGGTCAGCAAACTGCAGATCCAGACACACACACACCCCTGAGCCATGCATACGGACAGGATAACAGAGAAGTAGGCCTGGGTGGTAGAAACACATAGGACACAGACACAGAGCAGCAATCAAGAAACAGCTGGGACCTGGCTAGACACGGAGGGACACAGCTGGACTCACAACAGCTGGACATACCCATGCCGACCTGTAGACTCAGAAAGACAGAGGCACCACAGTGGACAGGCATAACTGTTGAGACACACCTGACAGCAGAGAGACAGCACACAATCCAGCTACTCATGGTCACACACATACACACATCCTGCAGACATAATAGGAGAATTAAAATATAACATTTGATTGTACTGTGAGGTGTGAAACCACCTTGTGCCCACAGTCAAACTGTTAGAATTCCATCATCTATAAGCTGACACAGTCTGACAGACTAGTGCTATAGTTCAGATGTTGAAATCTAAATCTCCAATGCACTGGTATTATTAGGTGGGGCCTTTGGGAGGTGATTATGTCACAAGGACTCTGCCCTTGGGAATGGGATTAGTGGTTTGAGGGAGGCTGTAGGCCCCCCACCATATGAAGACACATGGAAAGTGCCTTCCAGGAGGAACAGGCCCTTGCCAGACACTGAATCTGCTGGCACCTTGATCTTAGACTTTCCAGCCTCCAGAAGTCTGAGTGATAAATTTCTGTTGTTTATGAATTATCCAGTCTAAAGTATTTTGCTATAGCAACCTGAATGGTATTTTGTATCTAAGACAATCAGATATAGATCCCACAGGTACTTAGGCACCCCTACACTCTCCTATCCCCAGATAATCCAAGACACACATTCATTCCTGTAAGCGATCCCCACTATTCTGGAGGACACTGAGAAGTAGGGAGAGTGTACAAGCACGTGAAACATACACCCCCCCCCCACTCCAAAGCCATACAGGTGGATGAGACCGAACATAGTTTGGAACCCCTTTTCTCTCCAAGGGGATGGGAGGGAGAGGGGCAGAGTCCTCAGAGCTTCTCTTTTTCCCCCTTATGCTCGGGGGGCCTCCTGTTGCCTTTTTTTTTTCCTTTTTGTTTTTGTATTTGAACTTCAATTCAGAAAAAATACCTAATGGCAAATGCATTGGGTTGGGATTTTTTTTAAAAAAAGGATTCATGCCCCTGATGTGTGATGTTCAAGTGGAGTTTTCTCTGCATCCTTTGGTTTTCTCAAGTTTTTTTTTTTTTTTTTTGGCTGGGGCTGGGTTTGAACCCACCACCTCCAGTATATGGGGCCGGGACCCTACTCCTTGAGCCACAGGTGCCGCCCACAGTTTTCTTTTCTTTCTTTCTTTCTTTTTTCTTTTTTTAACAGATTCTCCCTCCGCCATTCAGGGTAGAGTACCTGTGGCATCATCATAGCTCACAGCAACCTCAAACTCTTGGGCTTAAGTGATTCTCTTGCCTCAGCCTCCTGAGTAGCTAGGACTATAGCTGCTCACCACAATGTCCGGCTATTTTTTGTTATAGTTGTCATTGTCGTTTGGCAGGCCCAGGCTGGGTTTGAACCCGACAGCCCTGGTACATGCAGCTAGTGCACTAGCCGCTGAGATATAGGTGCCAAACCAGCAATTTCAAACTCTTGGGCTCAAACCATTCTCCTGCCTCAGCCTCCTGAGTAGTTGGGACTATAGGCATGTGTCACAGTGCTTGGATAATTTTTCTGTTTTAATAGAATATATGATCTTGTTTTACTCAGGCTGATCCTGAAATCCTGATCTCAAGCCATCCTCCTGCCTTGGCCACCTACAGGTGTGAGCCACCTCGACTGTCCAACCCTTCAGTTTCTGTGTTTGTCACATAAATAGGTAGCAGTGCCTGCTGTCTCAGAGACCCTATAAAAGGCTCAAGGAACTAATTCACATAAAATGCTTAGTACAAGATCAGGCCTGAATCATGGTTTTGATATGTTGATTATTCTGGGAGGAAGGTCAGCTAAAGGGTTAAGAAAATAACTGTGGAGCCAGCTAGACCTGAACCTACTCTTTTTTTTTTTTTTGAGACGGAGTCTCACTATGTCACCCTCGGTAGAGTGCTGTGATGTCACAGCTCACAGCAACCTTCAACTCTTGGGCTTAAGCAATAAGAAGTTCTCTTGCCTCAGCCTCCCAAGTACAGGTGCCTGCCACAATGCCTGGCTATTTTTTTTTTTATTGTTGTTGTAATTGCCATTGTTGTCTGGCAGGCCCGGGCTGTGTTCAAACCCGCCAGCTCTCTTGCGTGTGGTTGGCATCCTAGCCGCTGAGCTACAGGCGCTGAGCCTGAAGCTACTCTTTAATGTTTGTGTGACCTTAGGGAAAACATTTAATCTTTATGTATTTATTATCTATTGATATGTAACAAATCACTCTAAAACTTACACATCTATTATTTATTTATTTAGAGATGGCATCTTATTCTATCACCCAGACTGAAGTACAGTGGCATGAACATAGCTCACTGTAACTTTGAACTTCTGGGCTGAAGCAATCTTCCTGCCTCAATCCTCCCTGGGACTACAGGTATGTGCCACTACACCTGGCTAATTAAAAAAATTATTTTTGCGGAGATGCCTATGGCTCAGTGGGTAGGGCACCAGCCCCATATACTGAGGGTGGTGGGTTCAAACCTGGCCCTGGCCAAACTGCAACAAAAAAATGGCCAGGCATTGTGGTGGCGGGGACATGTGGTCCCAGCTACTTGGGAGGCTGAGGCAAGAGAATTGCTTAAGCCCAAGAGTTGGAGGTTGTTGTGAGCTGTGATGCCACGACACTCTACCCAGGGTGACAGCTAGATACTCTGTCTCAAAAAAAAAAAAAAGTAGCTGGGTGTTATGATGGGCACCTGTAGTTCTAGCTACTTAGTAGGATGAGGCAAGAAGATCACTTGAGCCATAGCACTCTATCCAGGGTGACAGAGTGAGATTCTGTCTCAAAAAAAAAAAAAAAAGAAAAGAAAAGAAAAGAAAAAAAGCCAACACCAGGTCTAACCCACACCCAAGGGAAGGAGATCACCTCAGGACATGATATGAGAGTGAAGATACTATTTTTCCTAGTTTTCTTTCCCTTTTATTTTATTTTTGTGTGTGTGTTTTTAAAAAAATTTTTGAGACATAGTCTTGCTCTTTCACCTGGGCTAGAGTATAGAGGCATCATAAAAGTGCAGTGGTGTTATCACAGCTCACTGCAACCTCAAATTCCTGGGCTCAAGTGATCCTCCTGCCTCAGC